ACGGGCATGTCAGAAGTGTTTGCCCCCAGATTTGGCGGCTGTTCTGTGGGCGGAATGCGGAAGTTAAAATTCGGAATGTCGGCGCGGAGCAGCTCTCCGGCGGCGCGGCAGCAAATCCTGGATTGGGTGCGCGGCAGGGATGTCATCTTGGGGGCGGAAGCAGAAGGGGGGCAGGCAGATACGCGCATCAGGGGCGAGTTCTCCAAGGAACTGACTGCGCACCGCGTCGCGTGGAGGGGGGAAAGTACCGTACTGTAACAAGCACGCCACGGAGGAGCCCCTCCATCTTCCATGCAAACAAGCAGGCACACGAAACTCGCGAAGGTTCGTCGTCGTCATTACGCCCTGCTCTTCTTGCTCTCGTAACACGTATTCGCGACGAACGTAATTCTTCGCATACACTGGCACTTTGCACCCCATTGGAAACTGCCCCCTCCCCCTCTTCATCAGCATCCACAAATTTTGGGTGACGAAGAATTGCCTCGCATAAGGGGCTTCCATCTCACCGAGCGCAGCAATAACAGGGGCAATTAGAGCCCCCACCTTAGCTCCTGCCAGCTGTGACTGACTGACTGACACGCTAAAAGCTCTGCATATGCTAACGCGTCAACGTTTTCGTTACCTACTTACCAAGCTTCCGTGATTGTATGGCGTCAGCCTAGCTTGCGCTCTTCCGCTCGGAGGGCCTCAGAACGTCTCGCGTCTCACATTCGCGCCGCCCCAGCGTTGTGGTTCATCTCTCCCCTCCAGTAATCACTAAACAGCTAGCAGCTAGTTACCTGTCGTGTCAACTCGTAAGTCCACGCCACTCCGGCGTTGCGTCGTTTTAAGCGAAGCTTGTCTTAGCGAAACGATAGCCCCGCCGGTGCGACCGGGTTACTCAGTGACCCTCTCAATCGATACCGCCTCAGTGACCCAGATATTGCCGCTGAGTCGGTCCAGTTCGGGCATGCACCAGTGGAGCTCTTACGACCTCCCAGGGGTATCGACTACAGCAGCAGCGCCAGTCATGGCGGGTTCGGCGCGGCGCGTTCTGGATTCCCCCGACTGCGACTTCGAGAAACAAACCTCCGCCCCCGCCGCCGCGGCATCCGCAGCCGCAGCGGCTTCGTGCTTCGGTATCGCCGCCCCGCTGCACGCGTTCCGCACGCGACCGGGACGGTTCGCGGGGGGGACGCTGGCGGATGAAGCGGCGGACGAAGCGGCAGATGAAGTGGCGGAAGCAGTGGCGCCGGTTGTGGCCGATATAGCGGACTCTAGCGCAATAGTAGGCGGCGAACCGGTAATTCCTGGAGCAACCGATGCCGGGGCGGAACTACTAGTAGTAGCAGCGGCGCAGGACGTACAACCGCGAGAGCCTTTGCCGCGAGAGGCGGAATTAGTGACATCTCCGCTCCCCGCCACAGCTCCCCCTTCCGCCGCATCCCTCCCCGCATGCCAGCCAGAGGGACACGATGTGATGCCTTTTACCTTACCCGCGCCTTCCGCGCCTTCCGCGTTTTCCGCGCCTCCCGCCGCGCTCCCCTCCCCGCCGTCGGTTGCGCCATTCATGCCGTGGCTGCTGCGCGTGGACTCCGCGTCGCTCGAGACCTATCACATGCTGACACGTCAGCCGTCGCTGTACTCGTTCTCCCTCGCGGACATGCCGGCGCATCATACGTCTTTAATCTCCCCTTCAGGCGCGGTGCTGCCTTCTCCTGGCACCTCCTTCGGACCCGAGGGTGCGCTCTCTAGGCTCAACAGTTTCAGCAACGGCAATGGTAATGGCAATGCTGCTGCAGCTGCAGCTGCTGTGAACCCTGCCGCTGCTGATGCCCCTGCTGCCGCCGCTTCTCCTGCTGTCGCCTCGCCTACCGCTTCTGCTGGTGACGCTGCTGCTCCTGGCACGTCTCCTGGCGCTGCTGCTGGCGCTGCTGCTGCTGCTGCCCCTGCTGCTGCTGCTGCTGCCTCGCCTCCTGCGGCTATAGCACACGGCGCTGGGCCGATGATGGTGCATGGAGACATAGACAGAATGGTACTACTAGTAGACAGTACAGCAGGTGGCGCAATGGGCAGTCCGGCAATTCCTGCACTGATGGCCGCGGTTAAAGGGGATCCAGGTCAATTAGAAAGCAGGAGGGAGGAGGCGGTAGGAGGTAGGGAGGAGGGAGGAAGGAGGGAGGGGGAATTGGACTTGGATGCTATCACCGCTGGATCTGCTGCTGGCAACGATGCGGAGGGTGCTGATGCTGCTGCTGCTGCTGCTGCTGCCGGCGCTGACTGTGCTGCGAGTGGCACACCACCGTCCACCATCGGTCTCAGGGGGGTGTCGCTCGTCCGCCCTTGCTGTGCCCCTGCAAGCGCAGGTGCGGCGAGAGACGGCGCAACGCCTGCCCTGACCACTGATCTTTTGCTGCTTGCGCCTCTGGGATTGCCTCCGGTGCAGGCTGCTCACGGGCATTCTGGTGCTGGTGCTCCTGCTGCTGCTGTCGATGGTGCTGCTGCTGCTGCTGCTGCTGCTGCTGCTGCTGCTGTGAGCACCAGGGAGCCACCTGCGCCAGGGACACTGAAGCGCGCAGTTGATGGTGAGAGGCTTCGTGAGGCGCCTCAGAGCAAAAGCCTGGCAGGTGCTTGCGGTGGGGGCGGTGGGGGCAGCGGGGGTAGCGGGGGCAGCGGGGGGAGCCAGGGAAGTGGCGGGGGCGGCGGGGGCAGGGGAGGGATCTGGGGAAGCGGCGGGGGCAGCGGGGGCAGCGGGGGAGGTGAGGGCGTTGATTTAGAGCAAGTGCTTCAGCAGCTCACTGCTGGTGACGGCAGTGGGGGTGGGGGTGGGGGTGGGGGTGGGGACGGACTCCATGCAGGGGAGGATAGAGAGGAGGACGGAGGTGCGGTAAAGAGAGCGAGGAAGGAGCTTGATCCCTTTCCTGCTCCTCCTGCTGCTGCTGCAGCGGCTGCTGCTGACGTCGCTACTGAGGTGTCCCTGGACTTGTCTCTCTTCCCGGTTCTGCCTCCTCTTCTTGTCCCCGCCCCTGCCGCCATCCCTGGTGCAAGTTCTGACTCGACTCAAAAGCCTCCTCTTCCTGTCCCTACTCTGGCGGCCCTCCCCGGTGTGAGTCTAGGCGGAGACTGCTGCGGAGGAGAGGGCGGACATGGCATGAGCTTCTCAGCCTCACCTGATAGTGCTGGTGCTGCGGCCAGTGTTGCTGGTGCTGCGGCTGGTGTTGCTGGTGCTGCGGCTGGCGCTGCTGGTGCTGCGGCTGGTGCTGCTGGTGGTCCTGCTTGTGGTGCTGCTCCTGCCACCGGCTATGACCCTTTTGCAGCGGCTGCTTCTGCTGCTGCTGGTGCTGGCGGTGGCTGTGCTGCTGCTGCTACAACAGCAGAACCAGCAGCAGCAGCAGCAGCAGCAGCAGCAGCAGTAGCAGCAGCAGCAGCGCAAGCGCTTTCACCAGCTGTGCATGTATCTGAATTTCCAGTGCGAGCAGCTGACGGGGCTGGAGGAGAGGCACCAGCGGCACCAGCAGCAACACCAGTGGCAGCAGGTGCAGCAACAGCGGGAGCTGTAGCTGCTACTGCTCCACGCGGTACCGAGTCCAAGACACTGGCAGCAGCAGCAGCAGCACCGATGGCAGTGGCGACAGACGCAGAGGCGGCAGCGGTAGCAGAAGCAGCAGCAGCAATAGCAGCAGCAACAGCAACAGCGACGACAACCCTTGTAAGAGCACCTGACGCAGAGGCAGCAGCAGAAGCAGCCGCGGCAGCGACAGCAGCCCTGGTGAACGAGTTAGCAGCATCCGTACCAGCAGCGTCACTGCAGGCTGCTATTGATGTGCTCATACAACAGCAACCGCAAGCGCAGCAGCAGCAATATCAGCAGCAGCAGCAGCAGCAGCAGCAGCAGCAAGGGTTACAACTCGGCCTCCATTTCCAAGATTCCCACCACTCCATGCCGTCTCATCCTGCTTCCCTCCAATCTCTCTTCCCACCCGCCTCCCCATCCTCCTCCTCCCCACCCTCCTACCTCCCCTCTCACACCCGCCAGCTGATCATGTCTGCTCTTCTTGGTCCATCACCTTTCTCTCACACATACCCGAACCCAAACCAAGACCCAAGCTCAAGCCCAATCAATGCGGCTCTGCAGTACGTTCAGAACCACGTGCAAACCACCGCTCAGCACCGCATGCAGCCGTCCCCAACCGCTCCCCACCCTGGAAGCGCCGCAGAAGTGCCATTCTTCCCCCTGTCTTCCCCCCAGGCCCCTATTACTGCTACCAACGCCAGCAAATTGTCGCGCTACCAGCCCCCTCCCTCCTTGCCTCTCTCGGATTATCTTCCAAATTTTCCGTCTCTGGGGCCCGAGTCTCAGCCCTCCAGCAGCAGGATCTTAAAGTACTACTACTTGCACCAGCAGCAACAGTTGGGGCAGAAGAGAGCGCCGCATGTGTTGAAACGAGTGGTGAGGGCATGTGGCATGCCTCCTCTGCTGGATTCAGCACCTACAATCGCCACCACCAGCACCACTGGTGGCGTAGTTACCATCAGTGTTCCAACCACGGTTGCCACCAATCCCATCACTACCACCAGTACCGGCATCCCTCCCACCAATCCCACTACCCCCCCTATCTCCACGCTTCCGATATCCATTTCTCATCCTGCTCCTGCTCCCGCTCCCGCTCCCACTGCTGTTGTTGGTGGTAGTTATGACAGCTGCGTCAATGGCACGGCTGCTGCAGCTGCTCTTTCTTTTGGGGCTTGGGCACCAGTTTCACCTCTCTCTCCCGCCCCTCCTGTCCCTCCTGTCCCTCCCGCCCCTCCCACCCCTCCCGCTGCTCCTCCTGCTCCTCCTATTCTACAGGCGCCGCTACACTCCCACCTACCACCTTTGAATCACCTCGACGCCGCTCTTCCGACCGTAAGACCCCCCTCCTCACCAACCGTCCCTCCATCAACCCTCGCAGCATTAATCCCAGCAGCGCTAAACCCAGCATTGAACCCACCTGCGAAGCCAGAGGCAGTGAGCCCAGAATTGTTGGCAGCAGCAGCAGCAGAGCCGCGCTGGTTGGCAGGCGTGGAGCCACGGCAACAGCCCACAGCCACCCATACTCCGAGCCATACAACACCAGCAGGTTCGGCCGGACTGGCAAGTTCGGCAGGTCTGACAGGCCCGGCAGGGACTGACTCCCTCTTGCCTGATTTCCTTACGGGTGTGCTACCTCTACCCCACCACCATCAGCACTCCTACCAGCAGCAGCAGCAGCAGCAGCAGCAGCAGCAGCAGCAGCAGCAGCAGCAGCAGCAGCAGCAGCAGCCGCATGCACATCAGCACTTGGAGTATCCTGTGTCCCCGCTCTCGCCTTCCGAGCCAGGACACATGGGGCTCTTCTCACCTTCTGCTGCTGCCGCTGCTGCTGCTGCTGCTGCTGGTGCGGGTGCTGGTGCAGGGAACGAGGTGGAGGGGTGTTGGGACTATTTTTGGGAGAGGGGGACTGGCAGGCGGAAAGGAGGAGGAGGAGGCGGAGTGGAGGGGGGGAGCGGAGGGGGGGAGCAGAGTGGGTCGGGTGTTGGGGTAGGAGTGGGAGTGGGCATGAAGCGGAATTGGCAGCAGATGGAGGGGGAGGAGGGGGAGGCGGTGCAGGGGGTGCAGGGGGACATGCTGGGGGGAATGGAAGGCATGGGCGGAACGGTGTGGGTGGGAGGCGGAGGGGCGGGGGGTGAGATGGGGGGAGGGATGGGGGGGGAGTGGGAGGGGAGGTGGTGGAGAGGCGGCAGCAGAGGATGATCAAGAACCGGGAGTCAGCTGCGAGGTCACGGGCAAGGAAGCAGGTACTGGGGGAGGGAGAGACATACAGCAAGAGATATATATTATGTAGAGGGCATAGACATAAAGAGGGGAGAGGAAGAGATGCGATGCGAGCCTTCTACCCTCTCATTTTTCCAAGACCGTGCTTGTCTCGTCACATTATCCTCCTCGGTCCGCTTCTCTCTTTGTCTCCCTCCTCCTCCTTCCTTCCCCTCTCACCCCTGCTGCCTGCTTGTCTCCCCCAAAAGGCATACACAGTGGAGTTGGAAGCCGAGATTGCGAGGCTCAAACAGGACAACTTGCAGGCTCAAGGAGGTACATTTGTGTACCCAGTGGAGCTGCTGTCCTTCCTTCCCCTCTCACCCCTGCTGGCTGCCTCCCACCCACCACCAGGCGTACACAGTGGAGTTGGAAGCCGAGATCTCGAGGCTCAAAAAGGACAACAGCCGCCTCAAGGAGGTACCTGCCTGCCCTCTCCGCTGTCCCCTTGCCCATTTGCCCATTTGTCCACTACACGTGCCCATGTGTACTCTCGCCCTCGTTAATTCAGGTGCGCCTGCCGACTGTGTAGCTTCTTCAGTCTTCGTCACTTATACCATGTTGAATTCAGCTTTCCATAAAGGTTGAATTCCCGTGATAAAGGTTGATCTTGTTCGTGCTTAGAACAAAACTCATTGCCTGCTCTCCCTCCATTGCATGGCATGGTGTGTTGTGCAGGCCATAAAGGGCGAGAATCTAAGACTAGAGGTAAGTTCACTCACACACCACCTTTCTTACTACCACAATTATCAATGTCAAGTTCTCCCTTAGTCTAATCGTCAATACTTGTACATGATTAATTTTTACCCGTCTATTCGCAGGCCATCTGCAACTTGAACAGTTCCGCATCCAAGACTTCCTCAACAGTTCATTACGATACCTTAGGTGACAATAGAGGGGCACACACTCAACCAAAGGAGGAGGTTGTTGGATTCAAGGAGGTTTGCCACGGATCAACGAAACTTTTCCAAAACTTGACTCGTGGAGCAAAGCTTCCTCGCGCAGTTTCATGGTCCTAGAAATTCACTATCAAATAGAGGCAGGCGCCATTCTGTACATGCCAATGCTGACCTGTACATACGTACATACCCTTATCTGTTACCCGAATTGTGTAATTATTTACGTCCCTAAAGGAACGCGGTGTAGCTGCTCGTCCGCAAAACTTGCCGTCAGGTATACAGAGTCTAACCATGGCGAGGTTCCGTCGAGAAATCCTTGAAAGTGCGCCTTCGAGTGCGGTGAAAAGTGTTCCAGTCTGATAATGTCTGTTTTTGTGTGGTCTGATGTGATTCTGCGACGAGCGAGCTCACAGTGGGATCCAGGATTGTGCTGAGGTGAAATGAAACGAGTGAAAATTGTGTGGCCTCTCTCTCATCGATATCAACCATCGTAGGAAGACGCTCTTGTGCACATTGCGGTCAGGTAGACTAGTGCGTTGTTCCAAGCATCGTCCTTGGTGGATTTCGCCCTCGCGAGCGCGACGCGAATTTGCACCGTCCGTCGTCTGTCGAATCGTTTCGCCAGAGCGCTCGTTGCGTTTTCGCGAATGGACGCGACGAACGTTTTCGCCACGTTCGCCTACTCGCTCCGCCCGCGAACCAGAGCAGGCGCGGTAGCTTCCGCGCGCGCGGCATCTGCGGCGGCTTCTGCAGCGGCTTCTGCGGCGGATTTTGCGGTGGCTGCAGCAGCAAGAAAGTTAGCCACAGATGGAGTGAGAAGACGCGGAAGGAACGACGGTGCAATAAAATTTGAAGCTGAAGGAAAAGAGATATGGTTAGCAGAACAAAGCGTGGCAGCGACAGCTGTGGCAGCGGCAGCAGCAGCAGGAGGAGGAGGAGTAGCAGGAGCTGGAACAGCGGTGGATGTGACGGCCGCGATGCCTCCATCGGGGAGATCCAACGGCGCTGCGGCTGCGGCCGTGGCTGCGGCCGTGGCTGCGGCCGTGGCTGCGGCCGTGGCTGCGGCAGGCACCGAGGGGGAAGGGCGCAACTGGAGGGGGAAGAGACGGCGCATTGGGGGCGAGGGGAGGGCGGGGAGTGAGAGAAGAAACGGGCGGAGGAACGGGAACGAAGCAGCAGCAGCAGCAGCAGCAGCAGCAGCAGCAGCAGGCGACGAGCATACCGGGGAGAAGGAAGAGCAAGAACAGGAGCAGGAGGGAGAATTTGTGGCGGAGAGACGGCTTGCGAAGCTGGAGAGGTGTGGTGGTGTTGGAGAAGCAGCAGAGCAGAACCACCACGCTGAGGGCTCGTCCCCTTGCCGCCCTCCTCCCTCGTCGTCCTCCTCCTCCCCCTCCCCTTCCGCGGCTACTACATCTCTCCCCATTCCTCCCTCCACTCCTACCCCACTCGCCTCCTCCCTCTCCTGCTCGCTCCCCCATCCCCTCCCCTCTCCCCTCCTTTCTTCCCTCCCTTCCGCCTCTCCCCTCGCGGCCGCTCTTCCCGCGACCGACTACCAGCACCTGCCCCCGTCCTTCTGCTGCCGGCCAGCAGCGGAGCTGGCGCCGCTGCTGCTGGGGAAGCTGCTGAGGCGAGACGACGTGGTGCTGCGCATCACAGAGGTGAGCGGGTGAATAGTGGGACGGGGAGAGACAGCGGGTGGGATGGGATGTGGAGTAATGGGACGGGTTTTTAAGCGTTCACAGCAGCAGGGGACACGCCATGCCATGCTGTTGGAACACACCACCCCCCTTCCCAACCCCCTTCAACCCTCCTCCCCCCTCCTCTTTCCCTTGTCCTGCTTCCCCCATCCACATGACACACGGGCAGGTGGAGGCGTACACAGCAGTGGCGGACACGCCACACCATGCCGTTAGAACACACCACCCTGCTTCCTCCCTCCCCCCCCCCTCTCCCCGTCAACCCTCCTCTTCCCCCTCCTCCTTCCCTTGTCCCTGCTTCCCCCATCCACATGACACACGGGCAGGTGGAAGCGTACACAGCAGCTGGGGAAATGGCATGCCATGCCGTTGGTTGGAACAACAAACCATCCCCCCCTCCCCGTGCTTTCCCCCTGTTTCGGACATGACACACGGGCAGGTGGAAGCGTACACAGCAGCTGGGGAAATGGCATGCCATGCCGTTGGTTGGAACAACAAACCATCCCCCCCTCCCCGTGCTTTCCCCCCTGTTTCGGCATGACACACGGGCAGGTGGAAGCGTACACAGCAGCTGGGGAAATGGCATGCCATGCCGTTGGTTGGAACAACAAACCATCCCCCCCTCCCCGTGCTTTCCCCCCTGTTTCGGACATGACACACGGGCAGGTGGAAGCGTACACAGCAGCTGGGGAAATGGCATGCCATGCCGTTGGTTGGAACAACAAACCATCCCCCCCTCCCCGTGCTTTCCCCCCTGTTTCGGACATGACACACGGGCAGGTGGAAGCGTACACAGCAGCTGGGGAAATGGCATGCCATGCCGTTGGTTGGAACAACAAACCATCCCCCCCTCCCCGTGCTTTCCCCCCTGTTTCGGACATGACACACGGGCAGGTGGAAGCGTACACAGCAGCTGGGGAAATGGCATGCCATGCCGTTGGTTGGAACAACAAACCATCCCCCCCTCCCCGTGCTTTCCCCCCTGTTTCGGACATGACACACGGGCAGGTGGAAGCGTACACAGCAGCTGGGGAAATGGCATGCCATGCCGTTGGTTGGAACAACAAACCATCCCCCCCTCCCCGTGCTTTCCCCCCTGTTTCGGACATGACACACGGGCAGGTGGAAGCGTACACAGCAGCTGGGGAAATGGCATGCCATGCCGTTGGTTGGAACAACAAACCATCCCCCCCTCCCCGTGCTTTCCCCCCTGTTTCGGACATGACACACGGGCAGGTGGAAGCGTACACAGCAGCTGGGGAAATGGCATGCCATGCCGTTGGTTGGAACAACAAACCATCCCCCCCTCCCCGTGCTTTCCCCCCTGTTTCGGACATGACACACGGGCAGGTGGAAGCGTACACAGCAGCTGGGGAAATGGCATGCCATGCCGTTGGTTGGAACAACAAACCATCCCCCCCTCCCCGTGCTTTCCCCCCTGTTTCGGACATGACACACGGGCAGGTGGAAGCGTACACAGCAGCTGGGGAAATGGCATGCCATGCCGTTGGTTGGAACAACAAACCATCCCCCCCTCCCCGTGCTTTCCCCCCTGTTTCGGACATGACACACGGGCAGGTGGAAGCGTACACAGCAGCTGGGGAAATGGCATGCCATGCCGTTGGTTGGAACAACAAACCATCCCCCCCTCCCCGTGCTTTCCCCCCTGTTTCGGACATGACACACGGGCAGGTGGAAGCGTACACAGCAGCTGGGGAAATGGCATGCCATGCCGTTGGTTGGAACAACAAACCATCCCCCCCTCCCCGTGCTTTCCCCCCTGTTTCGGACATGACACACGGGCAGGTGGAAGCGTACACAGCAGCTGGGGAAATGGCATGCCATGCCGTTGGTTGGAACAACAAACCATCCCCCCCTCCCCGTGCTTTCCCCCCTGTTTCGGACATGACACACGGGCAGGTGGAAGCGTACACAGCAGCTGGGGAAATGGCATGCCATGCCGTTGGTTGGAACAACAAACCATCCCCCCCTCCCCGTGCTTTCCCCCCTGTTTCGGACATGACACACGGGCAGGTGGAAGCGTACACAGCAGCTGGGGAAATGGCATGTCATGCCGTTGGTTGGAACAACAAACCATCCCCCCCTCCCCGTGCTTTCCCCCCTGTTTCGGACATGACACACGGGCAGGTGGAAGCGTACACAGCAGCTGGGGAAATGGCATGCCATGCCGTTGGTTGGAACAACAAACCATCCCCCCCTCCCCGTGCTTTCCCCCCTGTTTCGGACATGACACACGGGCAGGTGGAAGCGTACACAGCAGCTGGGGAAATGGCATGCCATGCCGTTGGTTGGAACAACAAACCATCCCCCCCTCCCCGTGCTTTCCCCCCTGTTTCGGACATGACACACGGGCAGGTGGAAGCGTACACAGCAGCTGGGGAAATGGCATGCCATGCCGTTGGTTGGAACAACAAACCATCCCCCCCTCCCCGTGCTTTCCCCCCTGTTTCGGACATGACACACGGGCAGGTGGAAGCGTACACAGCAGCTGGGGAAATGGCATGCCATGCCGTTGGTTGGAACAACAAACCATCCCCCCCTCCCCGTGCTTTCCCCCCTGTTTCGGCATGACACACGGGCAGGTGGAAGCGTACACAGCCGGGGACACGGCATGCCATGCCCGCTTCGGATGCACTCCACGCACAGCCCCTCTGGTCCGTGCTGCCATGCACGTACATGCACGCATGCACCCATGGCGTGCACATACGCACATGTGTTTGCAACTCCGCACACATGTGACATGTCTAGTCTAATCCCATCAGCCATGCACTACACATACAGCGTCATCATCATCACACCATATGCCACGTCCTGCTGCCTCTGTCAATTCCCTCTTGCCCTCCCCGGTTCACCTACTTGTCTCCCCTCCTCTCGCCTTTTCCCTCATCGCACCTCCCTTCCCTCCCTTCCCTCCCTTCCCTCTGTATTTTGAGTGAAAAGGCTCTGTACGCGCCTTCCCTCCTGTTCGTGCCTTCCCTCTGTACTCAAAATACACCTCCTCTCGCCTTTTCCCTCATCGCACTTCCCTTCCCTCTCTTCCCTCTCTTCCCTCCTGTTAGCCCTTGTCCACTTTCTCCCTTTAAGCCCCTCCCTTTCCTCCTCCCCCCCCGCCCCCCCCCGGCCCGTTTCCCATCTGTTGCGTTCTCCAGTCTCTTCCACTCCTTCCCTCCCACCTCCCTCTACCCCTCCCGGTTGCGCCTACATACATCCGGGCTTCAGCCTGCACCACGTTACCAGCATCTCTGTGCACAACGACTCCTCCTTCCCTCTTTTCTCACATGCTCACCTCTCCCTCGCCCTCTTTCTCCCGCACCTCGCACCTCGCACCCAGCACCTAGCACCCCACCCGCCCTTCCATTTCCTCCTCCGTCTTCCGACCAGCCCCCTTGCAAAGACCGATTTGGCCATGCGTGAGGAGTCTGTTTTTGAGGCGCCTAAAAAATTGACTCCCCTTGCAATGATCGATTTGGCCTCCCCGGTCGCACCTATGTGTAACTGCACCACATGCTCAAACATCATGGCTTGCAGTAACCCCTTCTTCTGCCTTCTCTTCTCACCATCCCTCGTCTCATCCTTTCTCCTCCCCTCCCCTCCCCTCTTCTCCCCCTCCTCCAGTTCGGCCCCCCCGGGCGGGCCTACGTGTATCTGTGCTACGGGCTACACCACATGCTCAACATCACTGCAGACCGGGACGGCACCGCTGCTGCCTGCCTCGTGCGCGCTTGTGAAGCCGTGGCAGGTAAGGGTTGAAAGAGGGGGGGGGGGGAGTGAGAAGCAGAGGGGGGTTTGAACCCTTCTCCTCTCTTCTCCTCTCTTCTCCTCTCTTCTCCTCTCTTCTCCTCTCTTCTCCTCTCTTCTCCTCTCTTCTCCTCTCTTCTCCTCTCTTCTCCTCTCTTCTCCTCTGTTTCTGTCGCTACCTCCCTTCCGCACTCTCCATTCTCCCCTCTCGTTCCCGCCATCCCTCTCTTCTCCACTTATCCCCTTCCCTTGCTCTGTCCCTCCCCCCATCCCCTTCCCTCCACGTCTCTCCTGCTCCCATCTCCCCCGCACACTCATATAACCCCACCAGGCTTCCCCACAATCATGAAAGGGCGAGCAAACCAGCCCTTGACTCCAGCCCTATTGGCTTTTGAGCTGACTCAAACGTCCCCTCCATGTCTCTCCTGCTCCCATCTCCCCCTCACACTCATGTATCTCCCACCAGGCATCCCCACCATCAGGGAGAGGCGTGCAAACCAGCCCCTGACCCCAGCTCTGTTGGCTGGCCCGGGAAAGGTGAGAGGGCGGGAGAGACGGTGCAGGTGTGAAGGTGGAATTTCCAGCTCTTTAAATCGCACTCATTCGCCCCCTCTCCCCATCCCTCATCCCCCGTCCCTTGCTCTCCATCCCCCACTACCCACTCCCCATCCCCCACTCCCCATCCCCCACTCCCCATCCCCCACTCCCCATCCCCCACTCCCCATCCCCCACTCCCCATCCCCCACTCCCCATCCATCACTCTCCATCCCTCCGTATCCCTTGCATCTCTCTGCCCCATGCTCGCCCATGCTGCATGCAGGTGGCAGCAGCACTGGCCCTCACCACCCAGTGGTCGCACCATGCCCTACATGAACCCGGTGGGTGCATGTGTGTGTGTGGCTGCATGCCTGTGTGTGGGTGCATGTGTGTGTCTCCGTATGTTAGGGGCAAGGGGCAGACAGAAATTAGATAGGTGGTGGCAGCAGTGCTGGCCCTCACCACCCAGTGGTCGCATCGCACCATTCCCTGCACGAACCCGGTGGGTGCATGCGTGTGTGTGTTTGGGCGGGGTGGGGGGGATGGGGGAGAGGGAAGCGAAGAACTAGATTGGTGGCAGCAGCGCTTGCCCTCTCACGACGATGGTCTCATCTCCAGACGTACTTATCGCTCTCAACCTTTTCCGTCTAACTTCTGTTAGAATCCGCACTTAATTTCTGATTCATCAGTCAAATGTTGACCTGTGCGCTGTAAACCCCTAAATCAACCTGTGCAGGAGGGTTGGAGCTCTTAGATGCGCCACCTGTAACGTCCGTATTGGTCGGGCCTAGAGTGGGCATCGACTATGCTGACCCCGGCGACGTGGCACTCATGTGGCGCTTTGTCAGCAGCGGCACAGCATGTGTCAGCAGCCCAAAGAGAGGGCTCCAGTCGCTGATTGGCTGGCAGGGGGGTGGAGAGCTGGGGAGCCGGAGTGCGCGTGAAAGCTTGGAGGACTAGCAGGCAATTTCCCGTGCATGAAGGTGGGCAGAAAAGGGAGAGTATGCGATGCTTGTAGTCTGCCTGTGAAAATAAGAGATCGCTCCAAAAGCGACATGGGTGTTTGGTCTAGTGGCATGATTCTCGCTTAGGGTGCGAGAGGTCCCGAGTTCAATTCTCGGAACACCCCTTTTGTTGACTGTGTGTATAAAAATCTGAACCTGGACCCCTCTTCCCCAAGCCTCTTCCACCCCAGAAATGCGAAAACACCATCACCTCACTTGGGAAGCACTTAGATAAGAGCAATATACCAAGGAATCGTTGTATAATGAACGGTTTGCTTCTCCAGCATGTCTGGTTTAGCACCTGCAGGCTTCCACATTTATGACTGGTGAATGCCAGTGCCATCAATCACCAACACAACACACAATCCTCACTATGCAACACTGCTTGTGCCACAGCACAAGAGCAGCCCCTCACATCCCTCGCGCTTCGCATCTCGTGAAAGCACGTGGTGTCTTCTTTACTAATAACCTGCATACCTTAACTGCTACCCTTGCACCCCCCCGTTCACCAGATCCATTGTCCAAATGATCCTCGTTCCACAGCACAATCCTCCTCATCCTCCCTCACCCCTGCAGATTGGTAGCAAGGTGAAGGTCGGTCCTATGCCAGGGCCCAGGGCTCCTTCCTGGCGCGCCTGAGCGCCCCAGCAGCTGCTTCCAGACCCCAGTTCGCCCCACCAATTGTGCGTCTCCCCTTCAATCCCTCTCTTCTCCCCTCACCCCTCTTCAACCCACTCCACCCCTCGTCACCCTTCCAGCAGCAGGTTCGTGGCGAGGTGCAGGTCGTTCCTGGCTTTCCTCAGCACACCCTCTGCTGCTTCTATTACTATACCTGCACCATACTCTTTGTCATCACCCCTCTCCACCACTCTTCACCCCTCCAGCAGCAGGTTTGTAGCGAGGTGCAGGTCGTTCCTGGCTCTCCTGAGCACTCCCTCTGCCGCTTCTTCTAGACCTATACCCGCCCCACACTATGTGAACTCACCCCTCTCCACCACTCTTCACCCCTCTAGCAGCAGGTTGGTGGCAAGGTGCAGGTCGTTCCTGGCTCTCCTGAGCGCCCCCTCTGCTGCTTCGCGCTCAAAGCCCATGGCCACTAGCGACTCCACGTGCGCTGGGGAGGGCTCCGCTGCTGCCACTGGAGGGGGGGGCTGGAGGACACAGGCGAAGAAGGGACGAGATAACAAGGAAAAAGGAGGATGGGCGAATGAAGGCGGACTCTGCTGCTGCCTCTGCCGCTGATCGCTCAAAGCCCATGGCCACCAGCGACTCCACGTGCGCCGGGGAGGGCTCTGCAGCCGCCACTGGTGGGGGGGGATGCACGGCAGAAGTGTGGAAGGCGTGATATGGGAGGGGGGGCGCTGCGGCTGCTGCTGCAGCAGGGGTAATCCACGCAGAGGCACACACAAACCCAACCCCCTCCCCCATCTGCACACACACAGATTTATGTCTGCTCCTCTCTCACCGGCATGTGATGGTGCAGAGGCCGCTGCGGCTGCTGCTGCAGCTGGTGGCGCTGCTGCTGCTGCTGCCTCCGTCGATGCGCGAGCTGTTGAGCCGCGACAGAGGAGGAGGCGGAGAAGGAGCCGGAGGGCCAGAGCAGCAGAGGGGCGATCCACGCAGAGGCGAAGCGAGCTATGGGGTCAGGCACCTGGGGAGCGGAAAGGGGGAAGGCACAGAGGGGAGGAGGGGTAAAAGGTGCGGAGAGAGGAGTAAGAAGAGCCCGGCTACAAGGGCCAACGAGCACCGAGAAGTGGGGGAAAGAAACCGGAGGACCAGAGCAGAAGAGGGGCGATCCCAAAGAGGCGAAACGGGCTATGGGGTTCGGCACCTGAGAAAGGGAGGACGGGGGGAGGGAGAGGAGACAGAGGGTGGTGAAGGACCCCAGGTGTTTATTGATTCGACCCGATATACATGTGTGTAGATTTTTTAGTCGACTCAAAACATCCTCCCATCCCACCTTGGCCTTATGTAATCCTTTGGCATTGGAGCGACAGAGCGCCCCTGCTACAACGACCACCGTTGAAAAGGTTTTTATTCCACGCAAAACAACCTCCCGTCCCACCTTGACCTTGCGGATTCCCAGAGTGATAGAGGATCCTTGCTATATCCCCCCCCGTTGATAACTCTTTAGTCAACTAAAAAATCAGCCCATCCCAAGTGACTTTTGAGTCGACTCAAAAGCCCCACTCATCGTGGCCATGCATATTCCGAGGGCGTTGGAGCAGGAGAGCGCCCCTGCTTTATCACGCGCTGGTAAACTTTTATACTCGACTTGACACAACCTCCCATCCCACCTTGGCGTTGCTGCCTGCCACCCCCATCCCACCTTGGCGTTACTGCCTGCTATGATGCCAACCCCTTCCCACCTTGGCCTTGCGTATTCCAAGGGCGTTGGAGCGATAGAGCGCCCCTGCTATCACCCCCGTTACAGCAGGGACGATGGAGGAGAGACCGGAGGAAAAAAGCAGCTGGCGCATGGCGGGGAGACCCAGGGGGAAACGGGCAGAGCGGGAGAGAAAGAGGGGGATAGGAGACGAGAGATGGGGGAGGGTGGAATGGAACGGGAAAGGCACCAAAATGTAAGCCTGCATCCTCCCATGGGATGGGAGAGACTGGTGAGGTGAGGGGTTCACTAGTTGGAGCAGTTGGAGCAAAAGAAGGCCCGGTTGTGAGTTGAGACATCACAGAAGAGCCAATGGTGCTTTCAATCAAGTGCCAAATAAGAATAACAATAATAAAAAGCACTACATTTGTGTGGAACATCCATATTCTCTAAAAAAGCTGTGATTTACGGACGTTTTAGGAAGTGCGGGGAAAGGAAGGAGGGGAGAGGGGGGGGGGGGTCGTTTGGCACCAAAATGTAAGCCTGCATCCTCCTCACATGCATACACGCACCCAACGTCCTCTTTATCAACGTACAACCCTTCCCTCACCAACAATCCTCATATATCGCCCTTAACCCACCACCAGCAACCTTCCCTCCCTGTGCCTTCCTTGCCTCCTCCGAGTCCTCCCCATGCACGCGCGCTCACCCACAGACAGTCACCCTCGCGCTCACCCCCCATTCCACTCCCCCTCGCGCATGCTCACCTACAGCGCTCACCCACAGTCACCCCCTCACCTGCAGCCCTCCCAGGTACACGAGAGCCTTGTCGGATAGCGGAACACGGGAGAGCAGGAGGTATCGGGCGGTGGGTGGGACATCAGCGAAGAAGAGCAGGAAGAGCGCGAACAGGAGGCCCAGAGGGCCCGATGCTAGGTGGAAAGGAGGCGGGGGGTCGTCCAACAGGGATGCGGATGGGGCTGAGGGGAAGGGGTGGTGGGTGGGAGGGGGAGGAGGGGACAGGGGAGGTGGAGAGGGAAGGGGTGGGTTTGGTGTCGAAAGATAGGAAGAGAGAGGGGGCAAGGGCTGTATGGCGGAAGGAGGGAAGCAAAGAAGAGTGCGAGGAGCAGAACCAGATGGCTGGATGGTGTTGGAAGGAGGGAAGGGCGTCGATCAATGGGGATGCGGGTGAGGTTGATAGGGACGAGGGGAGTGGGAAAGAGGGGGTGTGGGGGAGAGGGGGTGTGGGAAAGAGGGGCTGTGGGAAAGAGGGAGTGTGGGAAAGAGGGAGTGTGGGAAAGAGGGAGTGTGGGAAAGAGGGAGTGTGGGAAAGAGGGAGTGTGGGAAAGAGGGAGTGTGGGAAAGAGGGAGTGTGGGAAAGAGGGAGTGTGGGAAAGAGGGAGTGTGGGAAAGAGGGGGTGTGGGAAAGAGGGGGCGACGTTCAGGGAGAGAGAGGCCGTAAGAAGCATGGATCGGAACAGAGAGAACGGGGGAAGAGAAGGGTGGGTGGGAGGGGGGAAAACGACAAAGGAGGAAGCTGGCAGCGGGGATTAGGGGAGGGAGGGGAGGGGAGGAACAACATGAGGTCATGAGTAAAGAATCCTTTCACCTCGCACATATCGCAGAGGGTAAATAACAACTCCGTGTGTAGTGTTTGGTTTGACTTTAACTTACAGGGCACGAGCAGCAGGAGCAGGACTTGGAGAGAGAGGGAGACGAGTGTAGAGAAGGAGCAGAGGACCTGTGAGGCATGGGTTTGGGACGGGTTGGGGTGGGGTGAGTGGGATGGGGTGGGGAGGTGGGGTGGGGAGGTGGGGGGAGTGTGAGAGAACGGGACGCACGAGGCGGGTGGTGAAGGCGCAAGACAACTCTTGAGGCGCTGAAACGAAATGCGTGGTAAGAAAAGAAAAAGGCTTGGGGTGGGTGGGTGGGGGGGAGGCGAGCGAGGGACGAGAATGAGGAGATGACTCGTGAGCCATGGGCCATCAGGCAACAGCCCTGGGCCATAAGAAAGAAGAAGAAGAAGAACAAGAAGAAGAAAAAAGGTAAAAAGAAAAGGGGGCCAGGGGGGTGGGGGAGGGGGGGGGGGGGCGGGAGGGAGGTTTGGAAGGGAGCGGAAGGGGATGGGGATGAGTAACAGAGAGCGGGAGGCACAGGGATGGAGAAGGTGCTCGCAAGGATGGCGAGGAGAGGAGGGAATTGTGGGTCTTTTTGACCTACAACGTGTAGGAGGGAAGGGATGGGAAATGTGTGCGTCACCCATGAGTTCTCATCCCCATCATGCCCATCATGCCCATCATGCCCATCATGCCCATCATGCCCATCATGCCCATCATGCCCATCATGCCCATCATGCCCATCATGCCCATCATGCCCATCATGCCCATCATGCCCATCATGCCCATCATGCCCATCATCACCATCATGTCCATCATGCCCACCCCACCCACCACCATTCCCCGTCTCTATCGTCTCACCCCGAACTTGACGGACCTAAGTTGCCGCTCAAAGAAGCGGAAGGAGTAGAGTCGCAGCGTCATCACCCACTCTCATCATGCATACAGGCTTCTGCTCCAAACCCATTCCCCATCCCCATCCCCATCCCCATCCCCATGCCCATCCCCATCCCCATGCCCATCCCCATCCCCATGCCCATGCCCATCCCCATCCCCATCCCCATCCCCATCCCCATCCCCATCCCCATCCCCATCTCCCTTCTGGCCGTGCTCTCACCACGAACTTAGCAGACCCCAAATGCCGTTCAAAGAAGCGGAAGGAGTAAAGCAGCAGCGCGCACACTAGCAGGTCAGGGGTCGTCGCCACGCACAGCTGCGACAGCGGCACACGCCACCACTCACGGCGCGAGAACAGGGCCTGGATGGGAGCAGATGGTAGGTGGGGAGTATAAAGTGGAGGAAAGAAAGAGCTGGATTATGATGCACCTGAGAGGAGGCAAGGCGCAGATGGGATAGGAGGAAGCCCCACCACTCGCCGCGAGAGAACGGGCGGCGAGAAAGGGTGGCGAGAAAGGGTGGCAAGAAAGGGCAGCGAGAAAGGGCGGCGAGGAAGGGCGACGACGAGAAAGCGATGTGTTTCCGCATGGGAAACACGGGAGCAACGAGAGGAAAGAGCAGAGCGCCGTGGGTCATAAGAGGCAGAAAGGGATGTGCACGACGAGGGAGAGAGGCGGGGAAACGAAGGATAGGCAGGCAACCGTGAAAGCAGCAAACGCGTCAGCAGCAGCAGCAGCAGCAGCATAGAAGCAGAGGGTGCAGGAGTGCAGGAGTGCAGGAGAGGTGGGAGCAGCAGCAAAGAAGTAGCAGGTTGTGGCAGTGCAAACAGCAGTGGCAGTGCAGGAAAGGAGGAGTGGGCGAGAGAGTGACGGCAAGAGAGTGAGAGCAAGAGAGTGAGAGCAAGAGAGTGAGAGCAAGAGAGTGAGAGCAAGAGCAGCAGCTGACCTCTTTCGAGAGCGCGAATGGGTGGGATGAGTGCGAGGATCGCGAGGCGAGCACGAGAGAGAGCGCCGCAGACACAAGGATGACGGCCTTCGTCGCTGGCGCGCCCTCTGGCGGCCATGGGGGGGAGGGCGGGGGGGAAGAGTGAGTGAGAGAAAAGGGAGGATGATTGGATGGATTTGAGGTGGGGAAGAGAGCGCCGCAGAGACAAGGATGATGGCCCTCGTCGCTGGCGCGCCCTCTGGTGGCCATGGGGGAGGGGGGGGGAGGGGAAGGGGAGAGTGAGGGAAAAAAGGCGGAGGAGGACCCGGGGGTGGAGTTTGAGGCGGGGAAGAGAGAGCGAAGAAGATAATGATGGATACGCAAGTTCACTGGTAAGCTCGAAGAGACTGGTGAAGGCCTGATCGCGTCGAACGGCCTGACCGTCTCGCCTGAATGCCTCAAATAGAGTCCTGATGAACGACGCTAGGCGAACGGCCCGTTTTTGCGTAGCGCCTACTCGTATCCAGTTTTGAGGATGCGGGCGTCTAGTTTTGAGGCGCCTCAAAACTAGACTACTATCACGCGTATCCGGAGAAGGTTGCGGGCGAAACGAGCACTCGAGAGCGGGAGAACGCGTCCGTGACGTCCGTGATGGCGATGCAAAGCGCGCACACGCACCGCTATGGAGCACCACTAGCGAGCACCACTAGTGAGCAGAGCATCCGTTATTGAGCAACTCTTTATCGAGTTGTACCCCGTGTGGGGTGCACTAGAAATCTGGAATGCGCGAGTGACTCACGGAATCCTGCCGGCCCCGAATACATCCTGCACGGGCCGATCCTCGACCACCCGAACACCCCTTATGCTTCGTTGTGCGAAAGCAAAAGCCAGGAAAAGCCGGGAAACGCCGAGCAGCGACGAGGTTGTGAGGCTGCTGCAATCGCTGATGCGCAGGATGCGTGTGCGGATGCGATAGGGGTATGAGGTTCGTAACCGAGACAAGGTCGCCCAGCGGGTTATGACAGGAGCGCGCTACTGTTAGATAAGATAGGGGTGTGAGGTTAGTAACAGAGGCTGGTTGGACGCGAGGACTATTTGGCGATGCGATGAACTAATGTGCTTCTAGATGGCTCCATGAATAGTGTGCATGTGGCGGTGGGTGGTGTGTGGAAGTGTGACGACATTCGCGAAACTGACGAACGTGTGAGCAGCTCGCTAATGGCTGTGACAACTCGCGCAAGTTTATGCACAGTTTCGCAACGCAATTGGCGAAACAACCGACCCCATGTTCTTGAGGTGACCTCTTCATGACGAACTCACAAGCTGACTCGCATGCCTCTGCAGCCAATCAGCAAGGAGGGAACACGCACCGAGGGACTGGCCGTGGCTTCATTCAGTGCACGATGACGACGACGACGACGACGGCAGTTCAGTGCACGATGGACGGGGTGGGGAGATCTCAATCGCGAGGGAACTTCCATTCCCAGGGTGTGCGAATAGAGATCTTCGCCATGCCTGATCACCGACATCCCTCCATGCTTCGTGGAAGCCAGCACTTTCTCAACATTATTTTCAATAAACATCGACTCTATACAAGCAAAGCATGTTATTATCAAATGCTTAATACCCCATTATCACTATAACTCTTTGTCAAACCAATACTGCAAGCTAAGATGCATGAGAAGGAAATACATATTATACACCACACCATTGCCACGTCAAATCGCTCACTTTCTCCTTGGATACCCTGATACCATGCATCATCTCCGGTTTGATTATAAACCAACCGAAGGAAAAAAACAACCCAATTATTTCACATTTGAGCAGGTGCACTTTGTCAACTTATACATATTATCTATGTAGAAGTTATAGGCTAGACTGAGGTATGCTTCTAGTGAGTACAACCAACTAGTATTTGTTCTAGGTTTCCACCTCTAGTAATCATTCGTTTCTACGTTAACATGGTATCAAGCTTAGGTTAGGATCCCCCCGCCTACCGCTTCCGCCCGTCGCGCCTCCTAGGCCCCGTCGCGCCCCCTAGGCCCCGTCGCGCCCCCCCTGGGCCCCGTCGCGCTCGTTAGGCCCCGTCGCGCCCCCCCTGGGCCCCGTCGTGCCCGCTGGGCCCCGTCGCGCCTCCTAGGCCCCGTCGCGCTCCCCCTGGGCCCCGTCGCGCCCACTGGGTCCCGTCGCGACCCCTAGGCCCTAACGCGCCCCCGCTGGGCCCCGTTGCGCCTCCTAGGCCCCGTCGCGCCCCCCATGGGCCCCGTCGAGCCCGCTGAGCCCCGTCGTGCCTCCTAGGCATCGTCGCGCCTCCTAAGCCCCGTCGCGTCCCCCCTCTCTGGGCCCCGTCGCGCCCGTTCGGCCCCGTCGCGCCCCTCCTAGGCCCCGTCGCGCCCGCTGGGCCCCTTCGCGCTTCCTAGGCCCCGTCGCGCCTGCTAGGCCCCGTCGCGCCCCCCCTGGGCCCCGTCGCGCCCGTTAGGCCCCGTCGCGGCCCCCCTGGGCCCCGTCGTGCCCGCTGGTCCCCGTCGCGCCTCCGCGGCCCCGTCGCGCCCCCCCTGGGCCCCGTCGTGCCCGCTGGGCCCCGTCGCGCCCCTTAGGCCCCGTCGCGCCCGCTGGCCCCTGTCGCGCCTGCTGTTAGCGCTCGCCCGCCTGGCCTCCTCCTAGTGCCGCTCGGCCTCCTCCTAGTGCCGCCCGGCCTCCTCCTAGTGCCGCCCGGCCTCCTCCTAGTGCCGCCCGGCCCCTTCCTAGCGCCGCCCGGCCTCTCCTCAGCGCTGCCCGGCCCCTCCTCGTGCCCGACCGGCCCCAGCAGCACCAGCCTGGCCCCTCCCAGCACCAGCCCGGCCCTAGAGCACCTGCCCGCCTCCCCTGCTCGGCCTGCCGTGTCCTCTCGGGCCCTGTGTCTTCTGCTTGCCTGCGCTGGGACGCCTAGCTGCTGCCCTACTGGAGAGTGCTGCCGCCGTGTCCCCGCGCCGCTGTGCTCCTGTGCCGCTGAGGAGCTGTGCTGCTGTGCCGCTGTGTCGCTGAGGAGCTGTGCCGCTGACCCTGCACGATGGCTGACTTTGTGCTCCGCCTGGACGCTGAGGGCCACGCGGTTGACTTCGCCGCCTGGCTCTCCGATCTTCGCCGCCAGCTTACAGGTCAGCGCCAGGATGGCCACTCTCTGGTTGTCCATGCTGATGGCTTGCTCCCCCGTCCCCCTGCACCTACTCCCCTCCCTGCTGACCCCTCCTCTGATGACCGTGAGGCTTTCTCTACTGCTGCGCTAGCCTGTGCGGTCTGGGACTCACGCGATGCAGTAGCTCAGGTTGCTATTAGTCACGCCCTCCCTGTGTCTGAGCGCTCGCGTTTTGCTACTGTTGAAACGGCCAAAACTTATTTAGACGCCGTTATTGCTCGCTATTCCACCCCTGCCTCCGCTTCTGCTGGCCGCTTGCTCTTTCCGATGCTGTTCCCAGACCTGGCTGCCTTCCCTACTGTCGCAGATTTTGCCACTCATTTGCGTGCCCTAGAGACTCGCTATCGCACTGCCAGCACTGCTGCCCAGCTCACTGCGCTCCCCCCTCCTTTCTGCATGACGCTCTATTTTATCGCTATGCGCCTGCCAGACCGCCTCGCTAGTGCTCGCGACCACTTTCTTAGCCAGCACCCGGGTGACCTCACCCTGACCGCCTTTGTCGACACCCTCACTGAGATCGAGACTCGCCAGCGCACTATCGCTCAGTCGAGCGGTGCGCCGGCAGTCTCTATCTTTCACGGTTGTGCCCCATCCCCGTGCACGTTCACTGACGTTTCGGCTGCGGTCGCCACGGCGACCCCTCTTACCGAGACGGCTGCTGCTGTCCACCCGCAGCAGCGCTCGCGTCGCGGTGGCCGTGGCCGCCAGGGAGGTAGGGGTGGTGACGCAGGTGGTAGTGGTCGTGGTGGTGGTGACGGTAGTCCGCCTGAGGGGACTACCACCGGTGGGCAGGAGCAGCAGTCCCAGCAGCAGCAGGACCAGCCCCAGCCGCAGCCGCCGTCCCAGCAGCACCCGCCGCAGCCGTGGGCTCGTCTCCCGCCTGGTTGGCCCGGCACCTCCGGAGGCGGTGGCCGTGGTGGCGGCCCGCGCAGCTTGGCGTCTACCAGCGGCTCCAGTGCTGTGACCTGCCAGTACCAGCTTCAGACCGGGCCTCTCCGCGGCACTCTGTGCCGCCGCCCGCACCCGACCGCCCGCTGTTTCCGCCGCCTCGACGATCTTTTTCGTCGTCGCTTTGGCCCGGCCCCGGACCTCCCTGACTGGCACAGCCTGCTCCGCCAGGGCGTGCCGATCTTTGAGTTAGACATGGATCAGATAGGTGCTGCTTTGCATGCTTTGTATGCTGACGCTTCTAGTGTTGATGGATCTTACTACCATGTGTACTCTAGTTTAGGTGTTTCACCCTTGTGTAGCTTAGCTTCCCCTGCTGCGACAGGCGTAGGACTGCCTAGGTTGCCTAGTCTAGTCGCTGCACCGGCTCCGTCCGCGGCCTCCGCCACTGCGTCGCTGTCCTTCACTCTCGACTCTGGTGCTTCTGCCTGCTTCTTCCGCGACCGTTCCACGCTCACGCCGCTTGCTGCACCTGCTGTTGTCTCTCTCGCTGACCCCTCTGCGGGTCCGGTCGTCGCGCGCAGTTCTACGTCCCTTCCCTGTCCGGCAGTTCCCTCGGGCTCCCTTACTGGCCTCCACGTTCCCTCGTTCTCCAGGAACCTGGTTGGTGTCGGCTGTCTCCAGGACCTCGGCGTCACCACCACGTTCCCCGGGCACGAGCGGTTCGCTGTCTGTTCTGAGGCTGTCTCAGGTTCCCCCCTTGCGACGTTCCCCCGGGACCCGGTGTCCGGTCTGTTTACCCTACACACCGCTTCCCCCCCGGTTGGTGCGTCCTCCCAGGTCGCTGCAGCTTGCTCGTGTCGGTCCCTCACTCACCCGTCCCTTCTCTGGCACCACCGCTTAGGTCACCCTGCTCTCCCGCGTCTGCGTCACATGTCCCAGCACGGTCTTGTCTTAGGTCTCCCCGCGTCGCTCCCTGCCCTTCCTCCCTCGACTGCGCCACCGTGCACGCCTTGCGTCGAGGGTCGGCTCCGCCGTGCTCCTCACTCCTCCTCGCTGCGTCCTGCTACTGCCCCCCTTCAGACCCTGCACTTGGACGTTTGGGGCCCTGCCCCCGTCCCCGGACCGCGCGGTGAGCGCTACTTCCTTGTGCTCGTTGACGACTACACGCGCTACACCACGGTGTTTCCCCTGGAGCGGAAGGCCGACGTGCCCGACGTTCTTCTCCCGTGGGTTGTAGCTGCGCGTCTCCACCGCGGTCTCCCCGTGTTGTGTCTCCACTCCGACCGTGGCGGCGAGTTCGCCTCTGGTCGGCTTGGACAGTTCTGTCGTGCGGAGGGCATCACCCAGTCGTACACCTTGCCGGACTCGCCACAGCAGAATGGGGTTGCTGAGCGCCGCATCGGCTTGGTCATGGAGGTCGCCCGTACCTCCATGATCCATGCCGATGCCCCCCATTTTCTGTGGCCGTTCGCTGTTCGCTACGCGGCTCACCAGCTTAACCTGTGGCCACGCTCCCAGCGGCCGCAGGTTTCGCCGACCCTCCTTTGGACCGGGTCCCCCGGTGACGCGTCTGCGTTCCACGTCTGGGGCTGCCTTGCTCACGTTCGTGCCTCTGGCACGGACAAGCTCACTGCCCGCACTGTCCCCTGTGTCTTCCTCGGTTTCCCCCTGGACTCGTCTGACTGGCTTTTCTACCACCCGCCGTCTCACCGCTTCCTCCACTCTCGTGACGTCACCTTTGACGAGTCCGTCTCCTTCTACCGCCGCTTCCCTCACCGAGGTCTCCCAGTTGCCCCCCCCCTTTTCCTTGCTCCCTCTCCCCCGGTAGCCCCTGCCCCTCTCCCGCCTCGTCCTGCCCCGTCTGGTGTCTCCCACGTCACTCCCCTCCCGTCGGTTGTCCCCGTTGAGGAGTCTGCTGACTCTGGTGGTACCCCCGGTCCGTCCTTGCCGCGTCCCCCTTCCCCGGTGCCTCCGCCCCCACTGTCGCAGTCGCCGACCCCGCTGCCGCCGTCGCCGCCGCAGCCGTCGCCGCTTTCGTCGTCGCCGCCGCCGCTGTCGCTGCCGCAGCCGTCGCCGCTGTCGCCGCCGCCGCAGCCGTTGCCGCCACTGCCGCCGCTGCTCTCGGCCCCTGGGGGTGCTGGTGTGGAGGAGGGTGTTCGTCCTGCGGCTTCTGGGGGTGCCGCTGGTGTTGGAGGGGGTTCTCGCTCTGGGGGTGTTGGTTCTGGGGGTGCTGCTGTTGAGTGTTCTGCCGACGGTCGTTCTGCCTCTGCTGGTCCGAGAGTTCCGGCCCAGCCGTCGTCGCCGCCGCAGCAGCCGTCGCCGCCGGTTTCCGCTCTCCGCCTGCTCGGCCTTCCCTCCCCGGACCGCGCGCCGGTGTCTCCCCCACCGCCTCCTGACCTCCCTGTCTACGGTCCTGTGTTCCCGCCGCCAGACTCGTCTCCGGCCCGTCTTCCTCCTCGTTCCCCTCCTGTGTCTCCTCCGCTGTCCCCTGACCCTACCCCTCCGTCTCACGTTTGGGCTCGCCGTCCCTCCCGTGCTCGTCCCGTCTCTCCTGTCCTGCCCACCCACCCTATGTTGCTCCGTTCCCACTCGTCTCGTCCTCCCCTCCTCCCGTCCCCTCCTCCCTCGTCCCTTGCTGTTGCACCTCCTCCGTTCTCTGACTACCTCCGTGCTGCTCGTCCCCTTGTCCCTCGGGTCCTTGCCTCTCTTGTTACCGACCCTGCTGTTCCTGTCTCGCGCCTTGACGCGCTTGTCGCTGCTGTCGCTGACTTCGCTTCTACCCGCCGCCTTGACTACGCTACCGCTCTGGTCTCTGACCCTGCCCGTCCTCTGTCCGTCGGGGTGCTCCTGCCCTTGGCAGTGACGTCCTAGAGGACAGGCAGTACGAGCTGGCTTTCCTTTCCGAGGCTGCTCCCCATCTCTGCTCCATGCTGTTAGTCCCTGAGGGTGACCCAGACGCCTTCGACATCCCGACCCCTCGCACCTACGCTGAGGCCACCTCGGGACCTTGGGCCTCTCAGTGGATAGCTGCCATGGAGCAGGAGATGGCATCTTGGAGATCCACCGGCACTTACGTCGACGCAGTTCCCCCGCCTGGGGTGAACGTAGTCGATGGTCGGTGGCTCTTCAAGGTGAAGCGCCCCCCTGGAGAGCCGCCTGTCTTCAAGGCGCGCTACGTGGCCAGAGGTTTCAGTCAGCGCGAGGGGGTTGACTTCTTCCAGACCTTCGCCCCGACCCCGAAGATGACCACTCTTCGGGCGCTGCTACACGTAGCAGCACAGCGTGACTACGAGCTTCACTCTCTCGACTTCTCTACTGCCTTTCTTCAGGGCAGCCTACACGAGCAGGTCTACCTGCGCCGACCACAGGGCTTCACTGGTACCTTCCCTCCTGGGACCCAGTGGCTTCTCAGGCGCCCGGTCTACGGCCTGCGTCAGGCTCCCCGCGAGTGGCACGACACGCTACGTGCCACGTTAGCAGACCTGCAGTTCTTTCCGTCCTCTGCTGACCCTTCACTGTTTGTGCGTTCCGGCCAGACTCCGTTCTACATCCTTGTCTACGTAGACGACCTGGTCTTCGCTACTCCTGACAGGGACGCACTGGCCTCTGTGAAGGCTGAGCTGCTGAAGAGACACACCTGCACTGACCTTGGAGAGCTGCGTCGCTATCTTGGCCTGCAGATCTCTAGGGACAGAGCAGCACGCACCATCACTCTGACCCAGTCACACTTGGTGCGTCAGGTCCTTCAGAGGTTCGGTCTTCAGTTCTCCTCTGCACAGCCCACACCTCTACCCGTAGACCATGGGCTCTCTGCTCCCGTTCCTGAGGAGCCAGTAGAGCCCAGTGGTGGGTTGCCACATGTACCTGATGACTTGCACTCGCCCAGATCTCGCATACCCTCTCAGCATCCTGGCTCGCTTTGTGGCTACAGGCAGACACCGACCTCAGCACTGGTCTGCCGCTAAGAGGGTTTTGCGTTATCTTGCTAGTACATCAGGCATGGGGTTAGTGCTAGGAGGACGCAGGCCAGTGGTCCTTACTGGGCACACAGACGCTTCTTGGGCAGACGACGCTGAGACGCTCAGGTCGTCGCAGGGCTACTGTTTCAGCCTTGGTTCGGGTGCTATCTCTTGGAGATCCACTCGCTCGTCGTCTGTGGCTCAGTCTAGCTGTGAGGCTGAGATCTACGCTGGTGCCATGGCGGCACAGGAGCTCCGCTGGCTGACCTTCTTGCTCATAGACTTAGATGAGCGGCCTAGCTCTGCCCCGGTCCTGTACGCTGACAACAGGGTCATGATACTCCTGTGTCAGGAGCCTCGGCTTGAGGGCAGAGCGAAGCATATCCAGCTGCGGTACTTCCTCCTGCGCGAGCTACAGCAGCGCCGCCAGGCCCGCGTAGTTCACTTGGCCTCAGGTGCCAACACAGCTGACATCTTTACTAAGGCGCTTGCGCCTAAAGATCATCAGCGGCACTGTGTACAGCTTGGTCTTGTTCCTGTAGCTGCTCCCCTGTTAGGATCCTGATTGTGTACTCTCTATTATATATGCTTGTCAGACTGGCCTTGTGGCCTTACCTCCAGTGGCTGGACTAGTAGTGCCACCCTGGCTTGCTTCAGTTTTGGTTGTATTCTTGCTGACTGGTCTCCAGACCCCTGCCTCAGTGGTTGGACTAGTAGTGCCGCCCTGAGCTGTTTGCTTCTTGTTTAGTTTCACCCCTTGTCTAGCCTAGGGGGTGTGTCAACTTATACATATTATCTATGTAGAAGTTATAGGCTAGACTGAGGTATGCTTCTAGTGAGTACAACCAACTAGTATTTGTTCTAGGTTTCCACCTCTAGTAATCATTCGTTTCTACGTTAACACACTTGGCCACAGCAGCTGACACATCTCGCATGTGGTGTTGGCGCCACCACCTCATCTGGTTCCTCGCAAGCCCCATGGTCTGCTGCTGCTGCTGCTGCCACCATTGTTGATCGTGACTCAACAGAGATGATGAAACGGCTTGCATTGAAGACAGAGACCCAATCGCCAGTTCACTTATGTGTGACCCATGAAGGGAAACCATATGAGAGTCACTACCAAAAGCAGAAACAGCAGCAAAAACAGAAGTGGCAGCACCATAAGCAGCAGCAGCAGGAGCCGCAGCAGTATAGATGATGACATTGCTCGCATCCCTGCTCAGTCTACAGCAGCTGCTGTTGCTGCCGCCACCGCCGCCGCTGCTTCCTCTGCTGTTCTCAAACCTGCTATTCCCCTTATAGCCCCCCACAGCAGCCTCTTCGGACGCGAGGTTATTTAGCCCAGTATCTACGCTGCCCCCGTTCCGTGTCATGGGTGCAAATGTGCCACGAGAACAGCAGCAGCAGCTCCCAGCGGTCAAGGCGCGGCAAGGGGCGTCCATTGTGGTACCATCATTCCTGGCGTCACTGCCATTGCCACTGCCGTAGCCGTAGCCGTAGCCGTAGCCGCCACTGCTGCTGCTGCTGGCGGCACTGCTGGTGCCGCTGCTGCTGGTAGTGGTGGTGGCGCTGTTGTCACTTGTGGTGGAGGAAGGGAGGGAGCAGCAGTGGGATAGCTTTCTCGCTGCACATGGGTCATGCAACCCTGGAGCCATGTGGTGGTGGTGCTGCTGAACGGCTGCCATAAAAGAGTAACCGTCGCTGTTACCAAGTTGACAAGGAATCGACGAAGACTTGACCATGGCAGCGCACGCACCAGCTGCACCAGCAGCAGCACCAGCAGCAGCACCAGCAGCAGCACCAGCAGCAGCACCAGCAGCGGCACCAGCAGCAGCACCAGCAGCGGCACCAGCAGCAGCACCAGCATGATCAGCAGCTGAAACTCTCCTCGATGTGTGCGCCACCATACCCGCTGGGGCTCCTGCGGTCGCCGCAGCTGTCCGCGCTCGTTCCATGAGCGCCAGCAGAGCGCGCCGGCCTTCTCCTTCTCCCCGCACAGGGTCGGACCTGCACCGCGGCACCTCCGCCATCGACATCTGCATCACCGCGTCTGCCGATTCGCCGTCATCACCAAAATCATCCTCGTCGCCATCGTCGTCGGCGGCGGCGGCGTCGGCGTCGTCGTTACCATCATGATTGGTGCTCTCAATGTCCGTTGCTGCATCTGCCGCTGCCGCCGCAGCTGTCCCTGCGGCAAAGCCACCGTGACGGCGCACACCGTCGATTTCTGATCGTAACGGTGACGGCTCGCCGCCCACCGCTCGATCTTGACGGTCTTGGTGATCTTGACGGTCTTGACGGTTTCCCCCTGCTCTCCTGCCGGTCCGCCGTTCGTCCCCAGCGGGCAGCAGGAAGTAGACTCCCCCCGCCTGGATGCGCGCGGACGGCGGAAGGTGCGCGCGCGAGGAATCCAGCATGCCCACCGCGCATCCGGGGAAATCGCGGAGCACGTCACGCACCAGGAGCGGGGGCGGAAGGACGTAAGCCGCGGCGGCGGCGGCGGCGAAAAGATCCGCGGGGAGGTGCGGGGCGGAAGCGGAGAGGACACCACGCGGAGGGAAGGAGATCGCAGGAAGGGTAGTAGTACTACTAGTAGTAGCAGTACTCGACGGACGACGGGAGTCGCCTTCAAATCGAGCTTGGAGTTGCTCCGAGGGATGATGATGATGATGATAATATTGGCGGTCTTTCCTTCGGATGATGTCCCCCCCGGCGAACGCCGCAAGCGTAAACGGAAACAGAAGCGGCGTGCGTGTGCCGCTGCCGCTGCCGCTGGCGCTGCTGGCGGGGCAGCTTGTGGTTCTAGGAACAAGTGAGAGCGGCGACTGTGCTTGCGACTGTGTGTGCGACTGCGCGAACGGCTCTGAACGCTGCGTCTGCAGAAGCGACGACTGTGAGGCGGCCCGGAGGTCCCACTCGGACTCGTACTGCCGCTCGGGGTGCAGGTTGGTGAGGATGCGGATGCTGCCGTCGAGCAGCAGGAGAAGAGCCGACGAGAGGTCCATGATGGTGATGATAAGCCTTATCCGGAGATTAAAAAGTTAGTAGGGGAAGGCCGCCGCGCGGCGACTCGTCTCGACTCAGAAACGCGCGATTCGAACAACGAGAAAGAAGGTGGCGACGGGGGCGACGGGGGCGACGGGTTTGACGGTGGCGACGGTGAGCGCTCGACGGCAGTCGGGCTGGCTCGCCGCGCGGTCTCCTAGACTCTGGAGTGAGTGAGAGCCAAGTCGTTCGTGCTCTGCTCCGACTTACAAGAGCCCGACTCGTCGTACCAGCTCAAAGCTCAAAGCGGCGGCGCTGGTGCTAGTGCTTCTGCTCTCGATATCCTGGGCTCAGCCTGCTACTACAAATGATGAAGTCACGAAATTATAGTCGAATGATGGCAGAAAAACGGGTGGGGGGAGGGGTGGGCGGGGGGGAGGAGGCGGGACGGGGTGGGGGGAGCGAGGGGGGGGGGGCGGGGGGGGGTGGGTGGTGGAGGAGAGGAGGTGCACAGGTGGGAGCAGGTGACCCGGTGAGCAAGCAACAGGTGAACGAACGTCTGCGGGGATTGACACAGTACAAACAGTGCAAGTGAGCGTACTGTACCACAGGACCACGGCGGAGGGCGTTTCCCGAAGGAACGGACGCGGAAGGGGAGGAGGGAGGGGAAGCGGCGGAAGCCGAAGGGGAGGCGGGGAACTTTGATGAACCCTCTCAACCAGGAAATATAGGCGGGCTAGGAATTTCGATCCGCCTGAGGCTAGGCGAGGCGAGGCGAGGCGAGGAGTGGAGGAGGCTCTTAGCAGGAGCAGCGAAGAGGAGCAGGTGAGCCACTCTTTTGGCAGTACTATAGGAGAGCAGGGCAGGGCAGGGGAGGACAGCAGAGCACAGCGTAGGACGGGCAAATATCTGCCATAGAAGCCCGCAGCCGCGTCAGCGAGACTGTCCAGGATGGAAGGGCCCAGAAATTGAAGGTAAGTGCGGTGCAGTGCGCGTGGACGGCGCGGCTATGCGCGCAGTACTACTCCACTCCACAACAAGTGCACCCACCCACCACACACCGCGTGACTTTGATGAGAACGCCACTGCGCGCACCGTATCGCACCGCTTTCAACCGCACGAAGCCGTACGGGACGGAACGGGACCGCACCGCCACGACCACTACCGCAAGAATACAGAGCTTACTGTACCACAAGCACCACGCACTCGTGGTGCAAGTGGCACTCGCACTGCTTGTGAGGCTGACGCACACCTTGCCGCTGCCTATGCTACGCTGCTTGGGATGCAGTACAGTACAGTGTCTACGTGACGTTAGCGAGCAACGGGGCGGGCGGACAACGATGCACTTGCAAGGGAAGGGAAGAAAGGGAAGGGAGAGCGGAGCACTGCAGAGCAGAAAGCTCGGGCCAGAAACATGGGTGTTTCAAGTGGACGGTTGCGGTTGCGGCAGCCCTGGCAGGCAGGGGAAGGCTGCGGTTGGAGCAGAGGGGCAGTACAGTGTACAGTACAGTACTGCGGACTGTAGTCTCAAAAACACCAGTCTTGATTTGTACACGATTATTAGCCAATCGTTGATTAGAATAATCACCGAGGCCGTAAGAAACGAGATCTGAGAGTAGAGTAATCTCTTCCTCCACCCCCCCTCTCCCCACCCTCCCCCCTTCCCACTCTCCCCCTCACCCCCTCTCCCCCTCACCCCCCTCTCCCCCTCACCCCCCTTTCCCCCTCACCCCCTCTCCCCCTCCCCCGTTCCCCTCTACGCCAAGATGTCTGTCGGTGCAATGGATCAAGACACCCTGTATCACTGGCGCTGGGTGGGTCTGTTCTGTTAGGTCCGCTCCGGTCTGGACTCTACTGCAGTAACGCTCGCTTGGGGGAATTGCAGCGCGGGTGTACGTCCTGTTCTGTACTGTCCTGCAGCGGGTGATGAAGCTGGAGCAAGGGAAGGGGCAGACACTCGGTGCGTGGTGGTGTGGTGTGGTGGTGGTGATGGTGGCTCGTGAGCGAACGAACACACGAACGAGCGGTGGTGATGACGAGTCGTGACTCACACGATTCATGGCGGCACGGGTGACAAGTGCATTCACTCATGCCGCTGCCCCTCATTGCCCCGCCAGAAAGACGTGGTGCGTCGTACGGTTCGCCGGTGAACAGTCCATGTCGCGATAAGCACTGAGTGGTCTGTACAGTACTGAATACGACATTACAGCTCCCCTGCGACGCCGTGCCGGTGCGATAACGGGCAGAAGGGCAGCTACAGTAGTAGGGCAACCGACGCAGGCAGCGGTGCGGATTGCTGCAGTGTACTGTACTGCACAGCCATCCAAATGGCTAAAGAACAGCCATGGGAGGAGAGAGTCAACGTATCATCCCTGGTGACTCATGTGATCTTCTTGATTCACCTCTGGATGGTTGCGATGCGAAGGCCAATTTCTTAGACGGGGAGATGGATGGAGGTCAATTTGTCAGCGAAGAGCTTTCCTATTTGCTGGTGCAGTGCACTACAGTACACCTTCGGTAACCCCGTACTGCACCTACTGATGCAGTGTACAGAACTGTACTAAGCTTACCACTTGCCGCCACCAAGGTACCGTAGGCACGCGGGAAAGGCACGCATCACCATTGTGCGAAAGAGAGAGGCGCCTAGACGAAGTTCGGTGGTTATTTGCTGCGGTGCAGGAAACGCGTGCTGTAACGGGTTTCTGGCCTAGTCAGGCCGGCGCTGTCGTGTAGAGTACCGACTACTCGTCGACTGCCATATGCGCGTCACACTCTGCCCCGTCCCAGATGCTGCCGAGTGCTGCCGACCTCCACCCAAGCCCTTGACGCTGCCTTCCTCGCTGCCACCAGTTGCTTCGATCCAATGGTTGTGGGGTGCAGTTGCGAACTGACGGTTGGGGGATGCTAGAGCCACGACTGGATGGATGGATGGTGTACACCTGTTCCACGATACAAGCACGCATTTTTTTTGCGCGGTGCGTGCATGTATCCTCCGGCCAAAACACCGGGCAAAAAGGGCTTGTACACTTCGGGGGCGGGAGTAGCCGGACTGTAGTCATTAAATGCGGACGGCCTATGTGCGTCCGTTTTGGTAACCGGCGTGAGAAACTTCTGACCCGCATGAAACGGGTCATGTTTCAACACCAACAACATTGCACTATGTTTATAACACAACAGATACAGAATCACAACACTGCGTTTACAACACTGAAATGTATTGCCAGAGATGACACCATGTTCCAACTCCTGCCCAAGTCCATATTTTCAGCATTCCCATTTTAACCATATCCACGGTGCCGTGCTCCCCCAACTCCCATATTACCGAACGACACTTTCTGCCGCTCAGATCCCGGGCCATAGTCTCCGCAGAGAAATGTGACTGTATCGGATAGGTTGTCTATCGGTTGAGAGAGGTCGTCGGGGCAGACGGCTACGACTCTAGCAGTCGAGAAACGTGAGAACCGTCGTAGCGTGCGTCGCAGGCGTCGCCAGCCAATCGAGTGACCGCGAGAGCGCTTTCAGGAACGCGACGGGCGCGATGCGGAACGCGGCAAGCAGCTCCGCCTTGTCCCGCACGGCAGCACCGTACTCCTGCCCTGCCAGCTCCGGCTTCGCGCAGAAGATGCGCAACACCTGCCCCCTGCGCGTGCCCACCGCGAACAAAACCCCGCGCGTTGGCCTTGATAGTGTCGAGCGACACGCCCGGCTCGGCAAGAAAACGGTCCTCGAGAGATGCGAGAACTTGCTGCAAGTCGCCGTTGGAAGCATTGCCGTTCCATTACCCCGCCCTCCGTCCCCGCAACCTCCGCCACCGATCGCTGGCGGTGACTATATGCGCGCCCTCTCTTGTGCCACCCGCCTCTGCCGACGGGCGAGTGTGAGAATAGCGGGTGGAGCTTTGACGAGGATACGAGGCGCGCCCCCGCGAAAGACGAGGAGATCTAGCTAGCCCATGCTAGTAAGCGCAAACCGAGGCAGGTGCGAAGAGTTATGACGGAGTGAAAAAGAGGCGACGAGGCGAGATGAAGAGAGTGCGAATAGACAGCCTGTGCAAGACTAAGAGGAGCCGCCGTGACGGTTGGAGTGACGGGTGTCGCCGAGACCTCGCGCAGCGCATTGACGAGTAATGATAGAGAGTAAAGAGAGGGCAAATATGTTGTCACTTAAGCGAAAGTTGAGATGGATAAGGTAACAATGTGTGGCTGGAGGTTGTTCGGATAGACGTGGCTTATACCCACGCATTTGAAGTTTGTAGAACACGCCGGTGAACAGCTCTGGCGAACGCTGACGTGTTCTTTGGTTCATTCATTGGAACATAGGAATCTGTGCATGCTAGAAACTTCCGTGTCAACGTGGCGTGTTAACAGGTCGTTGGCTGACGATAAGCCTTCTAGTGACTTCGCTAGGCTGTTTTTTTCGCTAACAAAATCTTATGGACGAATCCTATTGGTTGCCGTGGAATCTGTGCGCTATCTTGTACAGTACACTCTTGTGGGTCGTTTCATGTTGAACAGCGATTGTGCATGTACACTAGGGGATAAGAGCAGGGTGGATACGTCAATGGGTCCTTAACCATGATTGTGCGACTAGCGCGGATGTCTGTAAGCGGGATCATGTGTATTGGTTTTGGGAAGGGATGAGGGGGAGGGACGAGAAGGAAAGCGTATTTCCTTATCACGGGTTTTAGTTAGTAAGGGCGTGTAGCCTACGGTTTCGTGGGCCCAATTCCGGAACTGGGTTCCGTCACCGTTATCGCCAGTTCCGTTGGCGCCAGTTTCGAAACTCGGATAGGCAATCTGTCCGCGGACGGAACTTCGAGTTCCGAGACTCGAAGTTCAAACGCTCAAACGTTTGAACGAATGGCGAGCCCCCCGCCCCCACCCCCCCTTCTCTCCCGCGAAATGACAAACCAAAGAATTCGCATCCAATGACAAAGAAGAACAATCACAAGCTGGAGCCGCCCTGTTCGTCGTCTCCAATCACAAGCGAATGGTCAATCACAAGCAAATGGTCAATTTGGCACGTGGCATAACGGCGGCGTCGAGATGTTTCGTTCTCTTCGCGGGAGTAGCTTGTGCTTTTCGCACAGAACTGGAGGGAGAGTTTCGAACGGACATCCGGACGTCCGTTCGAAACCAGCGTCCTGACTCTGGACATGTGTGGAACCTCGAGTTCCCTAAGTCGTGAATCCTTTGCGAGGCCGTTGGCGAAAAGTAGAGCGAGAAATGCTGTTATGAGTGGGAATGGAACAGCCACTCAATAATGGGAATAGAAAAACAATGTCTACAAGTCACGAGCGAACTGGCTAAAATAGGGCACGGACGTGTTAGGACGAGCTAGGGCGAGGACCTCGGGATGTGAATGGTTTGGTCGGGTGTCGAGGGTGTCGGAACGCGATTCGGGAAGGTTTGGGCCGACAATAATGGCCGAACCTGCGAGTTCGAGGTCTTTGGGTGTACGCGCTGTAGTTCAGCGCAGTAAGGAATGTTAATTCCTTACAAATGCCGAAATGTGTGACCCTTTTCGTCCACGGACGTAACTCAGTTCCTAAACCGTATGATACACGCCCTAAGGCGTACACTCCAATAACGGGGTTGCCGTGCAGCTCTTCCACGAAATTCAAATCGCGGTACCCAAATGCGGCCCACTAAAGAGCCGCATGCATTTTGTCCGCCTTGCTGTTTCATGCCTAGATCTGGGCGCTTCGCGCCAATTTACGAACCACACATCGCAGCTCTACCGAGCCATGACCGTGTGCTCCTAGGCTAGCTATATCCATGCTCTCTGCTGTTTTGATGTTGCCTCATTTGTATTGTTTCCTCGGCGCTCAATCCTTCGACACACGCTCTTTGCGCTTCATTACTCTTGGCCATCAGAGCTAACGATCCTCAGCCTTGCGCTCTAGTTCCGCTGCAATACCGACACTTACGGAGGCTGTCGCCATGTGCTTACTACATATCCGATGTCTAGGTAATATTAATTGATAAATACTTACAGCCACGACTGTGTTTGCAGTGTCAGCGTGCCGAAAGTCGCCCAAACCTTTCCACGAAATGGTGGATCCGTCGGCGTTTATTGTTATGACTCATGAAGGAAAGGTGGCATCATTTGAAGAAGTCCGTCTTACTCACGAAAAGTATCTGCAGGAGTTGGCGCGTGTGCGAACTGAAACGGCCCAAGCTCAATCCGAGATATCTGCGCTGCCAAGCCGAATGCCTCAGACACGACATGACACAATCGCACCAACGACAAACCAAGGACAACAAGAACAAGTAACCTAACATTGTTCTGAAATACCTGGCGACAATCAGCGACCACATGCGTCTTCGCACGAGGGTTCGAGGAACAACCCTCCACTGGCTAATGGACGAGCAGAAGTTTGCGAAGGGGTGAAAATAAACCCGTCGCCCCAAATTACCTCTCCAACTGGCCTACAAACTAATAGCATCAACATGGCGCCGAGAATCCTCAAGACACAGAGGCCGCCCATGTTCGACCCAAGCCATCGTGACAGTTTGTCTGTCAGCGGGTGGATTTTTCACCTGAATGCTTTTTACGACTGCAACCTTGTCATCGACGATGCGCAAAAAATCTGATACGCCGTATCGCTCCTACGTGGGCCGGCGATGCATTGATGGTAGCAGATAATTCAGTTGAAGGAGCTGGATACGACGCCGCTCGTGATCGGACGTTTTTGCACGACCAATCACTGGGCAGGAAGTTATTGCGGGTGGACGAGTACAGCACGTGGCAATCGTGGTGCGCGGGAATTCGTCGCCGCTTTGAACACGTCAACGCAAGCAGTCAAGTGAGTGACCGCCTTCACACGTGGTGCCAACTCGGATCGGTTCAGAACTATACCAGCAGTTTCAAGAATCTATGCGACCAGGTCGACTACATTCATCAGGACAAAAAGTTCGACAGATACATCGAGGGACTTCGACCGGATCTGCGCAGAGAAATCACGGATTTAATAAGGGTTGCAGAGCGGTTGGATTCGTTTTTCAAGCCAAGAGCGGGTTCCTATGACGGAAGTTGTATTCGGGGACCAATCGAGCGTGCCACTGTATACGCTGTTACAACATCGAAGTCAGTAGTTACAACCTTCAAGGGTCGTTGTTTCGGGTGTAATAGGCCGGGACACCGCAAGTCAGAATGCCTAGAGGAGCGGAAGAAGCGGAAACAAGGGCAGGGGCGTTCCAACGACCAGACAAACACTTAATATCAGTAGTTAATGGGCCCACTACTGATCGAACTTGCTCGCCCGTGGTCGATGACCCTCATCGAGTATTGGTACCGATCCACGCGATCGATCAAATTCGGCTGAATCAAGCCGGTGCAACGATGTATTACCCCATTTATTTAGAGGGTAGGGTCCAAGGGGAAAAAAAATCTTTGTGGACGTGGGAGCCAACCACAGTCTGATCAACCTTGCCACGGAAAAAAAAAAAAGAAGTTACCCTTAGATAGGTGTCTACCGGAGATTGAAGCCAGACTAGTCGACGGGACCCCACTAGCAATAAAAGACAGGGCGGACATGATTAGGGTATGTTGTGGAGCTGAATTCAAAAAATTTATGGGAATGTTGGCAATTACACTCGACGACTTCGATATGTTCCTGGGACGGGATTGGCTGCGATGATTCAATCCGAAAATTGACTGGACGACCGGTAGCTGTTCCGTCAAAATCAACTGCCGCAATGTGACGTTACCAGAATGGACGAAGGGGGTCACATGGGGAGTGACGCATGTAAACTCAATGGCGATCAAACGAATGGTCTTACAGGGCGCGAAGTATTCGGTATAGTCGTTCGCGTTGTCGACGAGGCATCGAAACCGTCCGATTTAGAGAAGCTGACTACAGCAGTGCTGGCCGATCAAGCGCATATGATTCGCAGATATTTCCAGACGACCTACCATTTATTACCACTGGAATGTCCCTTTGACCATCGAATAGAATTAGAACTAGTGCAGCAACAATTTCGACTAACACATCCACAGTTAGATGAATCACGGAAGCAGTTGGACTATTTACTGGAGACAAAATTCATCCATCCGAGCTCCTCACCATGTGCCGCCCCCATATTGTTCACCCCCAAGAAAGAGGACGGGTACCAAATGTGCACTGACTACAGAGCTCTGAACAGGGTGACTATCAAGTTGCGTTACCCTATCCCGCAAGCTGACGAACTGATTGACCAACTTCGCAAAGCTCGTTCCTTCTCGAAAATAGATTTACGAGGGGGTTACCATCAGATTTAAGTGCTGATGGTAACCCCCTTCGCAGACTGTCACAAGACTGCGTTTCATACTAGGTACGGGAGTTTCGAGTACGTAGTTATGCCATTCGGTCTTACAAACGCCCTGGCGACATTTCAGATGACCATGAACCAAATCTTTAGTTCGCTCGTAGAGAAGTGTGTTATAGTCTACCTCGATCATATACTGATTCACAACGAGGCCCGGGAGCAGCACTTAAAGGACCTCGAAGCAGTTTCCACGCTACTGCAGGAGCATCGGCTGATCACAAAGTGGTCTAAGTGTGAGTTTGTAAAGGATATCTTAGAATTCTTGGGATTCGTTATTTCCACTAAGGGCGTCGAAGTGGATCCGCGCAAAATCTAGACAGTGCAATATTAGCTAATGCCTATGAAAATGCATGAGCTGCAAAGTTTTTTAAGGTTCATCAATTATGTTTGGCGTTTTATCCCGAATATGGTAGGGGTAACTGCACCATTAACTGACTTGCTGCGGAAAGGGACTGAATATACACTGAAAGAAAAAACTGTCAGGATAAAGGGGTTTAGGCTACTGCAGGTCAATTTTTGCCTGTCTTAGTAAAGAATAAGTTTCCACAAATTTCCCTGTTTGAATAACACTGCGTATATTCAAGAACCCACCGAGTTTTGGTTTGTAATAATGAATATGTCTCACAGA